ACACACACATACCCGCCCAGCCAACCAGATCAAATAAATCCCTAACCCTAGTGATCGATTGGGTAACAGATTGTCTTCACATCTTATAGAAAACAGTCTTAATTCATGGTTCAAAACTTTTCACCAGCTGCAACAGCAACAGCTGGTATTGTTTTTACCTGTCAAGTCAAGTCAGCTTTATTGTCAAATATGCTATATGCACAACATACAGCACAGATGAAATTTCAGTCCACAGTGCAAACAGGCAATAAAAATAAATTTTCTATAAATAGAAAAGTGAGTGTGTCATGGCAAAATGTCCTTACAGGTGTATAGTTCAGATCAGGATGGGTGTGGTCTGAGTACTTATTACTAATGCAGTAATGACTACTGAGTACTCATGGGTCAGAACATGTAGATGGTCGTTACAGCTGGTGTGATTTCAGATATGGATATAGTTTGCAGGCTAGATTTCGAAAGGTGCTTTAGTGCACATGCTGTGGTGAAGGCCACTAGGCTGAATCAGAGTTCAGACGAAGCAGATACAATAATTCCAAAACCAGACACCGCTAAGTTATTTTAAGCCACTTGTCATAGCGTGTAAGGATCGATTTGAAGAGCTGCGGGACTCTCAAAGTGTCACAAACTGCTAGTATGTTTTAGGCGCGCTGTGCTGTAGGTGAGGCCAGGTGCCGCTCTCCTCCTGCGACTCTCATGTCAGCTCGTACATCTCCCGCTTCACTTCCTCAGACGCGGGAAGAAGAGAAAAAAAAGCTCCCGAGGGTGAAACTGAAAGTGAGACAAACAGGTTGCCTTTTCTCCAAGGTCAACCAGCTGCCACAGTCAATGAGCCTCTTCAGTCTATGAGTCAACAAAGCACAGGATCACTTCCAAGCATGAATATGTCATATATAATACAACCCTCCGACCCCATAATGCGCCCGACAAAAACACAAGTCATACGTAATAACCAGCGTGAGCTTAACGGGAGGCTCTTGACTGAGTCATACAAGTTGTCCTCAAAAACCTGTGTACTTCTGATCTCTTCCAGTTGTTTTTTTTTTTCTTTTTCTTGTCTTGTGTGAGCGGTTCCTGAGACACCCTGTGGTGCTGTCTGTTTGTGTTTACCCCTGCGGACAAACCCGTAGCTTCATCAAGGGTGCTATGGAAAGGACAGTGTGTCATGAGGGACTGAGCAGCACGGTGCCGCATTGTTTTAGAGGCTGGATGAGTCACAGAAGACAAATCAGGGTTGGTGGCATTTGAGAAGGCTCGTCCATTGCATTAGGACAGCACTGTTAAATCAACAGTGGAATTATAATGTGTTCCCATGATGCTTGTTTTAGCAGGTCAGACAAGGAATTCATTAAGGCATAATGTAACCTAATTACCTGAGAGACTCGATGGTTACATGTTATGATTGTAATTTGTTTCTGAAGAAGAAGAATAGCTTTTCCTTTGCTGTCAACCCTCCTAACGAAACTGATGAAGTTAAAATTCTCAAAACATCAAACCATATTTTTAGCACCTAGTACACAATGTGAGTGCAGCATCACTATGACTATTTCAAGTAATTTCTATATGACTCACCAAAGAAATTCAAAAGCTCATACATCATCAAAAGAGCAGACAGCAAATTTTCATCTGCTTTAGTCATGGCTGAATTACTTTTCATCTATATCGTCTTTTTTTTTTTTTTTTTGGTGAGATGAGTCCACGCTTCAATTATTTGTTCCTTTGACAAAGTCTAAAATTCAAATGAAGCGCTTGACATTGTGTAGATTTAAACTGGAAATGTGGTAAAAAATGAAAAAAATATAATATATGAGACAAACCCCCACCACCACAACCCTCCCACCATCTCATTCAGGTTTTACCACATTTCAAAATAGTGCTTCTCAGTAGGGCTCAGCTTTCTCTGAGTGGCTGTCTTTGATTTATTTATTTTTTTTTTTCAGTCTGTACTGATAAAAGCAAAATTACACAAGATTGCTCACATACAATAGTGACGGCTATAAATGCATTCATTGTGTTTTTGACTTTCACCACACCATCTCCTATGTTTGTCCAGTATGCGAATGTCAAGTGTATGCAGGTGACAGACTCCAAGCATAATCCGTTTTTCCTCCCTGCTCCCCTTTTTCTCTCTGTTTCCACCTCTGTCTCTCTTTGTGTCTCGCTCGCTCCCTCTGACCACCCTCACACACACTGCCAACGTGAGATAGCCACGTCTGTGTGTCCAGTGCAGTGTGTCATGTGTGATAATATGTGACGTATGCGTCACGTGCCGGCGGTTTTAGGGTTCCACTAGAAGATACTTATTATTGTTATCGTCTTTAGGCATCATCATTATCAGCTGGAGCAGACGGGTCCCTGTGCGTCATTGTTCCCTCCAAAACCCCTAAAGCTCTCAGCGCCAAAGCTACCCACAACGTAACCAACAAAGGAGGGAAAAGAACACGTTGAAAATCACTCTGGCACTCTTTCAATGTCCCTCCCCTCATCCATCCTCTCATCCAGGGCCTGGACCCCCCACCCCCCACCCCCCTCATGTACCCTCTGCACTCTGTCTCCCTTTTTTTTGCCTCTCTATCAAATGTTCACTTCTTTTGTCTCATCCACTCTTTCTTGTTCCATCGCACTCTATCTTTCTGCGTGACATGTTCTGCCCTCGTCTGCTCTCTGTGGTCGCCATTATCTAAACCACCCATCTCCTCATCTTTCCCTCAATTCCCCTCTCTCATAGTCAACAAAAAATTCACAACCTACACACACATATATAGATAAATGCACACACACACACACACACAGTGACACTGTGCGTGCAAATGCTCTCACCCCTCCCAAAACCTTCTTCCATGCACACACTCACTAACCCCCCCACCCAACACCACCACCTTCTACTCTCTCCAAACCCCTACACCCCCCCACCCTAATCCTAATCACACCACCACCACCGTCATCAGCCCTTATCTCACTCCACCAAATCTGCTGTGACTCAAAACAATTTCCTCTCATTTGCGATTTTACTGCCCGCCCCCGCCTCCTACACCTCCATCAAACCCACCTACCCCCTCCAATAAACCCTCTCCACCTCCTCAATACCCCATCGCTACCCATAAGGCACAAACCCCACCCAAACGCACATGCACACAAACACAAACACATATACAAATGCACTCACGTACACACACTCTGACCGGTCGCCATTAAGAATGACGGCTCATCATGTGTAAGCGGTGACTTGCCACTGTCATCCAGTGGAGCCCGAGAAGAACTGCAGTGTGACGTCACGGCGGACGCCGGCCTCGCTGGTTGGTGGATCATATTTACGTGTGTGTGTGTCTGTGTGATTCTGTGCGTGTGGTTGGGATGGGGGAGCCGGAGGAATACAATTTGGTGGGTGGGTGGACCCGGTGGGCCTTGCTGCATCACTGAACCAGGAAAATGAATGAGAGCCTACACTAGGTGTCACCCCCTTCCTCTCCCGTTGGCCTCCGCTAATTTCCCTTTTTTCTTTTTCTCTTCTGCTTTTGGCCCCCGAGGCAAAGAATACACTTGAAATTGCAAAAATTATAAGTGTTTGACAATATATTCAACGGTATATTGCAGGCTCGCTTGACTGTGTTTAATGACTTGAATCAGCTGAAAGAGAAACAAATGTTTAAATCGTTTGATGAAATTATTAGAAATCCATTCAAAGTTCAGTGAAGCAGCCTGATGTTGCAGAAATTTTCAGCGTTTGAATTTCAGCAAGAGCAAAACAGCACCACCCAATGGGAGGTTCTCATAGCCACAACCAGAGAGTAACACCTCACTAAGAGGTGTTACTATGGGAGGAAGAATATACATGATGGGGTGACAGGAGTGATTTACCTCAATGGGCGGAAAATAAAGTCTTTCCCTCCCCCAGTCACAAAATAGTTTGACAAACACGTGTATTACTTTCGCCATCAGTCTGTTCTTTTTTCTAGCAATGAAAATGTGTCATTTGTACTACGTGATGAGAATTTTAAATCTCACGTTTGGCTTTTAGTGTTCATTTGAATAAACTCTAATATCAGGAATATACTAAAACAGTCGTTTCACGCATACATTATAATGTTGGGCCTATAATGTTAGAACTGAAATACAAATATCAAAGGTATTAGATTCAAATTACTGTCCACATAATTATTATATTATACATGTTAACATGTTGTATTAACAATTATTTCAACTCAATTACATGCAATTGAATAGGTTATTCAATATGTATATAGAAGCGGGTATCTGTGGAAGACCATCTCTATTGTGATCATCAAGTTTCATGATCTTCACATATTAAAGGTACAGGAAACTCAAACCTTTTAGCAAATGGTTGCTTATTTATACATTCACATACAAGTAGTTACAGAGCCACATTAGTAGCAACGATGATGCCAATTACCTGTACTGTTTAAAGTCTGAAGCATTTCTTGTTATATTTGTTGAAATTCTCTCCCCGGCTGCAATTAAAAAGAGGAAATGCGTCTGTGGTTATTGGAGGATTGTAATAATCCCGGAACATAATCTCATTTGGACCGAATAAAATGACTGTTGGGCATACCTGCCTGCATACCTGCGCACACTCTACCCGCCAACTCATCGCACATGAAAATGTGTTTGTGGCTGTGAAGGTGGGACTGTCTCTTTCTTGTTTCTCTAACGTTACCAATCCAAGCTTTAAGTTATCTTTCACTGTGATAAATTTAACTTTGAAGCAGTGTGAGAATTACAAGAGACATGTTCATAACTTAAAGGAGCTTTCCCTACTGCCACCGTCCGCCAATTCCCTGTTAAAAGCAGGGTTAAAGCCCTGTTACTCATACAGTCTTTAATTACAGAGATATGAATTCAGACTTATATTAAATATCTAAATATTTCAGTGTCTTCGAACTGTGGTGAAACAGTCAAGATCTGTGACGTTCCAGAGCAGCTGAGAGAAAAACAGTCAGCTTCATTTTGGCAGCATTTTAAGTGTCCTGGAGGAGGCACAACTTGTTGGTGGGTCAGGGGTGGAGAGATCTGACATGTAGCAATACCCCAGCATAATGTGTATGCCCACTCTCGCAGACAGAGAGCAAGGTGAGCAGAAATTGCCTTGGTTATTGATTATTACACAGGTAATGGGTTATTGATTACTCACAGCCTTCTTCTCTGTGTCTGAAGGGAATTGTACTATACAAACATAATTCAGTTTGGGATTGAGTTCTGTTTTCTGCCAAATCTTATTTCAGTATGGAAGATTTAGCGACAAAAACCACATGTAGAGGAGTAAATGGACAGTCCAAAACAGACGAATCACCCCCTGCTGCTCACAGTGTTGACTCATGCTGCGGATCCTGGCTGAAAGGCATTAAGCTCTGGGTACCTGTGGACTACAAGAATGAAATCGTTCAGTTTTTAAAACTGGCAGGACCTGTGGTAAGATTGTTTTCAGAATCGACAGTTGACAAGAATCTAGTTTGACTCCACCTGATTGAACCTTTTAGAACTAAAGATACATCTGCAACAATATGAATGATTGTCTGTGAATTATATTAAATGCAGGAGTCAGTCATGAGTAGTTTACAGTGTAGGTGACTTATTACTTGCTTGCTTTTAATTTGAAAATGCTTTAATTGCTGCTTTACTTTTAACATGGAGGACTGTGATATACAAGTCACTATAACTATTGGGACTAATTAGAAAAACAACAACAAACTGATTACTTTCTCTCACTGACGTAAATAAGAGGCCATAGAGGCATCAATAGTTCAAGTATCAGACAAATACGGTGTGATATGTTGGGTGTCGCTCCTTGTGAAGTTGGTCGTACTCGATTAGAGTTTGAATACGTTCTAGAAGATCCAACTTATAGACATTAATCAAAACTATATCTTACTGAATTTAACCAAAATTAAAAGTACCCCCATATATATATATATATATATATATATATATATATATATATATATATATATATATCCCAAATTCATAGACATTATTACAGCAAAGATCAAAGATAATAGTACAGTATTTTCAGTATATTATAGAAACAAGGTACATTTGCAAGTGTCTCCTTGACACTGAATTTTGTGAAGAGAAAAACAATTCGGAGAACCCAACATGTATCCACTTTTCAGGCTCCTATTCATCACACAAACCTAGAACTTGATAGACGAGGACATTTAGTCTCCTTTTGTGCAAACCCTTTGATGCCAAAGGCTGTCAAAAACCTACACCAGCAATCACTAGAACTATTTTCTAAAGAAGAAAAGAGATGTAGTAAAGACATTTAGAAATACAAAGAGCTGCAGCAAAACCAAAGCATAACACATGTCAGCTGCCAAAGCAAATAAGAACTTTCTCTTAAGGCCTTGTGAAACAACCTTTTCTTTATGAATAATAACTTACTCAGCAGTTGCATGTGTTGCACGTGGAGCTGAATGTTTCATTTACGTTTGCAGGAGTTCATTTATGTTTTTATAGTTATGAAAACGAGGGAGCATGATTTTGTTTTCCAGTTTATTTCACAGTTGATGAGCTTCCTGATCGGCTTCGTCAGCATGGCGTTCTGCGGTCACCTGGGGAAAACAGAGCTGGCAGGGGTGGCATTAGCAATAGCGGTGAGTTGTGTTTCTGCTCTGACATTCTGCTCTCAAAGTTCACTGCTCATTCTCTGTCATAGTGTTGCTTTTGAAATTCACCATTTATTTCATTCAGGCATTTTTCCATCCAAATATGTATCTGTTTTGTTTTCTTTGTTTACTAATAATACTTTTACATACATTTCAATTTAGGTAATAAATGTCACAGGTATTTCCATTGGCTTTGGTTTGGCATCTGCCTGTGACACTCTCATATCTCAGGTATTCAATTTGTCTTATATTTAGATTATATTTATATAACCAGGTCAATCTAGTTACTGCTGTGGTCACAGTATGCCCTTTAAAATTTATTTCTGTGTCAGTTATGCCCTTTTCCTTGAACACGAGCAAGTCTTATTTTGTTTTTCTGACCCCTTTTCTTGCAGACTTATGGGAGTGGTAACCTAAAGCGTGTAGGAGTTATACTCCAAAGGGGAGTTCTGGTTCTTCTCTTAGCCTGTTTCCCCTGCTGGGCCGTCCTCATTAACACTCAGCCCATTCTGCTGGCTGTCAGACAGAGCCCAGAGGTTGCTAGGTGAACCACTTCCACTTCAAAATCAGTGTTTCACAGCCGTACAATAGCACGAATACTCTCGCATTGGTGTTGTATGACATCAAATGTTACATATACACTGATTACTTGTGAATGATTTTTTTTGCACTTGTTTCTGATCTACCCTTTTTCTGTCTGCCATAAAGACTCTCCCAGCTGTATGTGAAGATCTTTATGCCGGCTCTGCCAGTGAGTTCAGCTTCCTCCGTGGTTCTACAAAATGTTTTTTGTATCTCCATCTATATACGCTGTATTGAATGGTTGTTGTGTTGCATTATTGATCTAATTAACCCTATTCATCGCCTTGTGTTGAATTCTGCAGGCTGCCTTCATGTACCAGCTGCAGGGGAGGTATCTTCAGAATCAGGTGCATTTAATGACTGCAAGACCACTGATGTGAAACAAAATAATCACTGAAAGTTTGTCAGTAATGAGATCATTTTGTGCGTGTGTGAGAAAGGAACATGTACTGTGAGAAAGTAACAAACAGCAGGGGCACTGATGCGTTGAAATGGCGTTTTTTAAACAGCTTGCTTTGGCTCACAGGGCATCATGTGGCCTCAGGTGATATCTGGAGCCATCGGCAATGTTTTAAATGCAATAATTAACTACATATTCCTCAATCTTCTGAATCTCGGTGTTGCGTGAGTACACCCACCATAATAATCTAAAATATTATTATATAATAATATATTATATTACTTAAAGTATCAATAAACACCTTTTCTGTTGTTGTTTAATCCTCTTTATACCACTCAAGTGGATCTGCAGCTGCCAATGCCATATCACAGTATTCCCTGGCTGTGTTCTTGTTTGTGTACATCTGCTCCAGGGGTCTGCACAAAGCTACATGGGGCGGTAAGTTTAAGGGATTATGGTACTGCAGGGATAACTTTTAATTTACTAGTTACTACCTAATGATTTCAGCAAGTTCAGATTGTTGTTGTGAGTGTGTCTGCGTGCTGATGTTAGAATTTAGCTCAAAGCACCTCTGTGCCTAAGAACAGCCTTGCAGATTCACTAGCATGTCTGTTGTAGTCTCTTGTTTAATCTGTCATGTGATGAACATCACATTGTAGACATGACAGTCTCACAGTTCTTCAGTTAATGGTAGCATAACATGGCTGTGTGGTGACTCGATAAGTATAAATTAGGGCCGCCCCCTAATAGTCGACTTAATCGTTAGTCGATGTCTTCATTGACACTTTTGTTAGTCAGATAGTGGCAGAAAATCACAAACAAATCAGTTTTGGAGCAGAGTCTTGTCACCCGGACAAAAGTATCGGGATTGCTGAAACACAAACCTATTTTTTGTGTTACACAGGGAGTCACTAACTGGTGCACTGTTGCATATGCTAACTGCACTTGCTAGTTAACAATCCTATTAGCTGTCCGTACCCGGACAGGGAACTCGAAGGACGGGGGGAGTTTAAACACTATTAGCATAGGAGCAGGGAATACAGTGGGGAATACTGCCAAGGAGTGCACAACGAAAACCGGGTTCACAGCCTCCAAGAAGAACAGAGGCTCCAACCAGGACTATGACTCTGGGGATGAAGACATGCAAGTCCATTTTTGAGTAACTGTTACAGTTACATGACTACAGTTACATCGCAAGATTCTGTTACTGCGTTGCCTATTTCTCTCCTAAAATCATTTCAGAAACATATTTTACTGTACTGTTTAGCTTTAATACGAGATTGTGGACGAGTCGAAACTGCGCAGCCAATGAGAGCAGCTCAACTCGCAGTTCGTCACCTTTGCTTGCTCCGTCATGACGGCAACTGTCATTGCGAAGGCCAAAACGTCAAAATCAAGGCTTCAGAATGGTACTCCACAAAACCATTGGGTGATGTCACGATAGGCTCACACCTGGTTAAAATGTGTATTTAAATCATGTTAATGCTACTGGCTTTATCTATAGACTACTTATCGAGTAGGAAAACAGCCTTAGAATAAATACATTTCACTGAATGCATCTCACTTCCTTTTATCTCTTACTGTAGGTTGGTCAGGAGACTGCCTGCAGGAGTGGGGTCCTTTCCTCAAACTGGCCATCCCCAGCATGCTGATGCATTGTCTGGAGTGGTGGCTGTATGAGATCGCCGGGTTCCTGGCAGGCATCATCAGTGAGGTCGAGTTGGGAGCTCAGTCTATAGTCTATGAACTGACTGCTGTTGTTTACATGGTAACTTCTTTATTCCTTTTTTTGTAGTTAGGATGGATTGGTGATAGAACACAAAATCTATGCAAATGTAATATTTGTGTAGATACCTGAAACATTGATAGAATCTTGGTTTATTACTATATTTGTCTATGAAGTAATGTGTTTGTTTATCTCGTCCTGTCCCACAGTTTCCAATGGGTTTCTCTGTCATTGCCAGTGTGCGGGTAGGAAACGCTCTTGGTGCTGGGAACACAGAGCAAGCCAAGCTATCCAGCAAGGTCTCCCTCATATGTGCATGTATGAATCAGATATAAAGCCTGACAAATCTCCACAGAGGAGGCAATGGCTGCTATGTCGCGTTGTGTTAGGCAGGAGAGCTCCATGGATATGTTCCTCTGATCTACAAACAAAACCTTTTTCAAAGTCATTTGCCATGTTTGTCCTTTTAAATGTTCTTCTCTGTCTTCTGTTCTCTCTGTCACTTGTTCATTTAAAATACATGCTAATCCATGGTATGCTTTGTATATCTTTACCACCTTTGTGTAATAGCGTGCTGTGTTTCTTATGCCCAATCCAGCTACAGTCTCCTGCATCATTGGAGCTTGTCTTGGTGTGTCTAGGGATGTAATTGGTTACATTTTTACCATAGAGAGGTAAGTAAAGATCAGTTTTTGTTTTCTTACCTCAAAAACAATAGCTAACAGACAGACCCTGGCACAGAGCGCTTGTATAAAGTATAATTCATCATGTATTAACTTCTGACACTGACCCTTGATAGCAAAATGAGCTTGGACTTTTGCTTTTTGCACTGTCACTACATGAGACATGGTAGTTATTTCATGTTCGATCAACTTTGCACTCTGTCTTTGTTAGAATTTCATTTTCATATCTGCATTTCCTTTTAGAGACATTATTCAGAGGGTAGCTGATGTCATGAAGCTGTACTGTTTCGTCCATGTTGCCGAGACCTATGCGGTGATAACCCTTGCCATACAAATCACTTTATCCCTCCTGCTGATCAAAATAAACCTGACTTGGTTGCACAGATTTGAGATTTCTCTTTGTTTTACCTCCACAGGGTGTGATACAAGGCATTGTCAGGGGGGCAGGGAAGCAAAAGATTGGTGCCATGTGTAACTTGGTGGGTTTCTACCTCATTGGGTTGCCGATTGGAGTGTCTTTGATGTTCCCAGTCAAAATGGGCATTGTGGGTGAGGACATATTAAATATTAAGTAGTAAGTGACAAATCTAATCATATTTCCACTCAAACTAATAAACTGCCCGTTTCCATCTCTGTTGCAGGGATGTGGGCAGGGTTTTTAATTAGCGTTTTGATACAGTCTGTATTTTTTACACTTTTCCTGTGTAAACTAAACTGGAAGAAAGCCACTGAAGAGGTGAGTAACTCTACTGGTGACATCCTGTGTCATAGTAGGAGTACAACTAATTTAGTTAATACAGTCACATTGCAAAATTATGCTAACTGTGCAAAATCAGCAATGTGGACAGCATGTGGTATTAATATTGTAGCTTGTTACTATGTGTCTTTTAAATATGAAAAAACCCTGACTTAGATGTTTTTAATATCTCTGAATAGGCGATGGTAAGAGCAGGAGTTAACATTACAGAGAAGAACAACATCTTTGGGATAGAAAACAAGGGTAAACACAAGTTATTTTACCTACAGCTCAAGTACATGTACAGCTAAGCGACATGAACCATTGAAGTAAAACTCTCTCCCTCACAGCCCTGGACTCTGATGAGAAACAGCCCCACATAAAGACCAGTCGATGTAGTTCTCTGAGTCTGGTAGAGGGGAAGCTGGAAGCACTCGGTGCAGGTCAGCAGACTTCAGATGACGTGGCTCTGTCAGTCAGGCAGCTGGTGATACGATGTGGCGTCACTGTGCTGCTCATGTTCGTCATCCTCGCTGCTGGAGTCTTCATCAGTGAGCTGCTCACCCAACTGCTCGAAATAGATGAGTGACCATTATTGGACCACATGTGTGCAGCACAAAAAACAAAGCTCTGTCAGTGTGCCTCTGAGAGTCCAGATGTATCGCCATCTTTGAAGCATGTCACATAGACAAAATACATACTCACGCAATAAACAGACAACTATAGAGAAGAAGCTTCCATCGTATAATATTGGCCCCCTGATTTGTAATGACAAATTTCCATTGCATACTGCACGTTTATGAACTTTAAGGCCATTTATTGTGCACTGATGATGGGGAAAATATTAGAATGAATTTTAATTACTGAGTATTAAAATGTTCTGTTTTTGGATTATTACTTTATTTCCTGTCATTACTGCACACTTAAGGGATTGTCTTAAACGTCACAATTATCTTCAGAGAGGAGTTCTGTTATAAAAGCATTTTGTGTCATTCTCCTAGCTCTTTGTTGCTTTCATCTATTTAATAGATCAATCCCAGTCACTTTTGGAGTTGCTACATTAGTCATATTTTGGAAAAATCCAATAAGAAATATGACTTAATTGAGGCAGCCAATGAAAATCATAACTGAAAAAATACTGTATAGGCATGTCTCCTTTATATAGAAACATGCTGTGTAAGATGGGCTCCAATCAAAATACTGACGCAATATGTGTTCTCATTATGAAATATATAGTCTGAATGGATGCCACAATTAGAAATAGCATGATTAAATGCTATATTTAGGCTACAGCGCATCTGTGGATGCGTGCTTTCATCATCAAAGACAGAAAAGAGGCTCTTTTTCTGTGGTTTATTTTTCTGTCCTTTGATCTGTGTTGCCAAATTTGACAATAATGAAAGGTCTGTACACTCACGCTGCAACATGCTGGCTGGATGAAGACACGTCAAACTGAGCAAATCAACCACCTGTTCACACTGTGCAGGAGCAGATAACTAGCTAGCTCAGGCTACACGGTTATATCCTGCTCATAAATAAATAATTCAACCTAGTTAACAGCAAACAATTAACCATGTAGGATTTTTTCTGAAATACGTACTCTGTAGTCTATCTATGTTGTTCCTCTACAGATCTATGAAAAAGATGTCTCAACATTTTGAGAAAAGCTTGCCTTCTGGCAGAGTTAAATGAGAAGATTGATACCACCCATGTCTAGCCAGATAGTATAGTTTAGCACAAAGACAGGAACCGGGGGAAAAAGTTCGTCTGGCACTTCTGGAGCTCCCAAATTAACAAGTTATGTTTCATTTGATTAATCCCTACTGGTAGACATTATTTATTATCTTTAGCTGGCAGTCGCAGTTTGGTTAGGGTTAGGCAACAAAACTACTTGGTTTGGGTCTAGGAAATAACCATGGTTTAAAATACACCCTTTCTCAATATGTTAGAAAGACTTTCTGGCAGAAAACCTTGTCCACAGCTTTACATTTACAATACAGACTTGAGAGTGCTTCTCATCTAACTGTACGTCAGAGAATGAATAACCGTATTTCCCAAAATGTTGAGCTACATTTTTTCGCTTTCATACTAATATAAAAATAATAATGGGCTGCTTTATATAAGACCATATCAATGTTGGTGTTAAGTAGGCAATGGACAGCAGGTACACTGTATTTTGATTAGCCTCAAATGACATTTTTGGTAAATGCTCAAAATATTTAGTCCAGTCCTATCTGAATTTATGCCACAGTCAGGCTCTCCTGAAGGGATTTTTTTCTTGCCACTCTGGCCATTGCCCTCACAAGCCACTGCACTCTCCAAACCGATCAGCACTGGCTCGCAACAGATTGATGTTTGCAACAGTCACATAAAAACTTGCATATTCATTTATCGTTATTCAACATGTAAATCAGGCTTGATTCATACATGGTTACATCGTTGTTTGAGCTTCAGTCTTGCTCATCAGCGGCGACATTGCAACAGGCTCCTCACAGAGACTATAATCTTGGCCCGCTCACCTCCAGAGTCTGCAATCAGTAACATGCTGTGGCATCATTAACAAGTGACTGTGTAAAGATTTGCTGTCAGTATCGGTAGACTAGAACTTGTGATACATTATCTTAAGCAATCTCATATTAACTTCTTGTTTTTGTCACCATGCAATATAATAACGCACCTGGAATTCAGTTAAATTATGTCTGTAGTTAATAATATTACATATTATTATAGTGAAACACAGTCAAGAAATGGCTTCTGCATACGCCCAATTTAATTATACAGCACTGATCTTTTGCAAAGAGTTGCTCTCATCAGTGCAGAAATTAGTTATCAGCATATTGAAGTGTCTTGTGGCAACTTTGGGTCAAATATGAGGTACTATATATCACTGTGGATAGTATATGTTATGTGACAGAAAGCAGTGATTGCCTCTTTTCCTGGGTGACAAAAAAAATCAATCTTTCCACTGATTGCCTTTTACCAATCACTGAAGTACAGAGTATGACATCAGTTATGACATTATTTACTGAGGTCTGGCCGTGATGTTTTAACATCAAGTGCCATATTGAAGGGCAGATGCTGTGTATGTCCATAAACAACAGTGGCTAAATCAATGTTTTATATTTTTTAAAAAAGCTATTAAACAAGACCAGTTTCCATCACATTTAGTAACTAAATCTTACCTGAGTTCAAATATGAACAGTCAACATCATAAATAGCCTTAACCTTTTCAAACTCATTGACCCACACACTCTTTAACAAATCCAGATGCCGTTTCTCAGAGCGTCTACACTTGTGTCTAAAAACTAAAAGTAATCATATATAACATAATCACTGCAAAATAGTATAAACTATGTCTTCACCAAATTTGAATTAAAAATCATGCTGCTTTTATTCACTGATACCTTTAAGTCTCCGTGATGTTTAACTAAACAGCCAAGCCATTTTTTTCAACTGAAAACCTATGTATATGTGTATTTAGAAGTAATGTGGATCAATTCAGGACATTTTATGACAAGGTATTATACATATTGTGTTATAAATATGCATAGCAACCTCCCTTTACTGGCTGAAATGCTGTTGGCTGATCTGGTCACATACACCGATGTGTTAGCCTCTTTAACATGCTAGCTTAGCTAATGTAACACATGTACCGCACAGAAAGTTCTGCAACAGACCTTGAATGTGTTTTTAGTGACTGTCAAAGCTCTAAGGGACTCTCTGTGTTTCCAGCGCGGACACAGAGTCTGACTCATCTGTGTCTGCTAATGGCTGGTTAGCTGACTACCGGCAGCTGTATTCCTGCTACTGTGAGCGGTAGTCAGTTTGTCACTCTAGTCGGTGTTACCTCCCACATCATACACTCCATAGCCACACGGCCATATTTAGTTACACTTTAAATGACAATGATGAAATTTAAACCTGGGTTTGTTGCCTCTGTTTGTGCAGTGTCATTTTCACAATGTGTGTCTGGTAATGTGTGTCTAGTGGAAATCTTCTTTGATATGATTAAAGCAGGACCAGATCTTTATGGCAGCTGTTAGATGACCTCAGGAAATAGTTTTTGACTCCTTGGGGACATAGTTTGGATTCGTTCCCTTCAGACTATAGACTATGGTAATATATTTTTGGCATTTGGAGCTGAACATGCACGAGCTTCCCTGTGATTAGTTTTATTGTTATACACTTTAAACATCATTTTTATTGATTAGGGTGCTGTCATACGGCAGAACATTATAATATTGGCCATAGATATACAATAAAAAATAACTAGCTAATTATTTATCAGTCACCTCTGTCCTGAAGAATACCATAGGGCAGAGTGACAGTGATACAGGAAGACAAAACAGTAATACTATATACTGCTCATATAGTTATACGTGTATTACATATTTACATGTATACATGTACATTTTACATCAGATATTTACAATCAACCTTACACAATTAAAACACAAGAAAAATCATTTGGGGTCAGTAATAAAGAAAATAAATGTCATAGTGCAATGTGAAAATCAAGACAAGAGAAGGTGGAAAAATCAAAAGCTATCAGTGGAAAAACATCTGTTCCTTAATGCCCACGTGGTCTCATCGTGAGGGATTTGTAATGTGTCTTCTAGTTCCAGTTGAGGATCTCAGGCTGAGGAGGTTAAAACATGATCTTTGAAACAAGACCTTTGTTCATCCTGCCAGTCTCATTTGATATTGCTTCCAGCTTTCTGTGGCTTTGCTCAGCAGTGCAGCACTGAAACATATTTTTCCCAAACAAGACAAAGTTGGTAGCCCATTTCAGGCTGTAGTTTTACAAAGTAGCAACCCAAGTTTATTATTAGAGTGCAAAACTTAAGACAGGAGTTCAACACTTTTCTTTCTAGAAGATCTAAATTGTCAGTTTGTGAGAATTGTGTTCAGTCACTAGATGTCTACATTCAGAAGTCAGAGATAGCTCAGAGGTGTGGGGTCAGGTCGAGTGGAACCAGTGGTGTAGGAGTGGAGTCATTGGCCCAGTGCAGGGTTAAGTTGGCCCAGCGCTGGGCAGAAGGCTCCGGTGAAGGGAAAGCAATGTGGAAAGCAACACCTATGACCAAAATGAGAACTAAAATTAAGAAGATGAGTCCCCGACGCAAGATGAGCTGAGTGACAGAAAGCAGCAATTGAGGTTTGGTGTTTGAAGCATTTTTGCTCTGCTCAGCATCTCCCTCAGTCCCTCCTGCGTTTGTGTTGTTGCCTTCGGCCTCATGACCCACTTTCAGCTCCTGATCCTGGGTGTTGACTGGACTGTAGCCATCTGCTTTAGAGGCTTCTTCACCGTCCAGCTGGGCCTTTAGGGTGCAAACATGTAGTAAAAATAAGGATAAAACTAACACACACAAAGAAGTGAGGACATCTTGCTTAACTATACAGTACCTATTGCACGTACAGTGTGCACTTACTGTATTAGGGCAGTCAGAGATGTCAGGCACCATCGCTTCAGTCAGCACTGTACTAATAGGACGCTTTGGTATCATCACCACTTTCTTTCCAGCTCGCAGTTGAGCCTGAAAACATATTCGATTGTGGTTCATGAGACACATAGAAATAAAAATAAAAAACTGGTAAAAAACCTGGATGACATTTCATTCACCCACAAATTTACTCACAATTCAAAGGCAAATATACTTCAACCTCCACTTTTCTTTGACACCAAAGACCCATAACAACACATAAACAGACTTTGTGAATACTATTAATGTTGCTGAAAAACTGAAACAAAATAAAAACGTAAAATGCTGCCAAAATTCAACTGGAATGGGGGAAATGCCTCCTGATGGAGCTCCATTACAACAAAATAATATTACATCACTGCCCTCAATACTTGTGGGAAAGGTTTAAATACCGTGTATGATCTAAAGAATGATACCTACCTTTTGTGTGACTTTCTTCCAGTTGAGTTTGAAGATTAGAATGAGGAAGAAACCCGTCTCAAAGAAAACACATACAAGGAGACCCACCCAGAAGCCTAACAAGAGGGACACAAATACAGACACATTAAAGAAAGATATACAGTGTAAAAAAAAAAAAAAAAAAAAGATGATACAAAGATATAGCCATGCTAGCGGCTATGTGAGGCTGTAGCCTACTTAGGCACAGCTGTGCTTTGAGATAAATGCTAACGTCAGCATGCTAATGTAACCTAGGTTAATATAACCTTATACAATTAAGCCAAAATATTTCAGATACCCGCTGCCATCTTTCACTGTTCTGAGCCAAGGTTTGTGCAGTAGTGATCGGGGTTGGAGCCGCGGTTTCCACCCACACCGCCAGCAGGGCTCAGTTGTCAATCATGACGTAAAAGCCCCTTTTTATAGCTTCAGATAACTAATTAAAACCAATCTGATCAGAATCCCAAAAACCATAATGGGAAAAAATATATTTTTATAAAGTATTTAGATTTTTTAGTGTGGCCCATGTCCCCTCTGATAATATATAGGGGCAATGGGATTTATGACGTATACTCCATTTAGCCACCAGAGGGCCTTCATGATATTTTGGTTTCACTTTTGGAGAGCTGTCGCGTCGTCCATCTTTATATGGCAATGGTTACTACACAGGTACCACACAGAAACCTTTACAAACAGCTGTAAAATTAGCTTTTCACAATGATCAGCGACTCTCTGTGTTTCCAGTGTGGATAGTCTGATAGCAGCTGCTCATGGCCGGTTAGCTGTCACTCAGGTCTGTTACCTCCCCTACACACTCCATAGCCATAAGGCTTTATTTTGTGTTCACATTCAGTCTACTTTCCTAGATTCTGTTTTTTGTTTGTTTTGAACAAGGATTTTGTGAGTTAAAAACTATCAACGTGCCAATTAGCATGCCATTGGCTTGTTTTTCAAGCTGAATGTCCAGTTGAAAGTGCCAATAGCTAAAAAGAAGAACCAGGTCAAACTTATTAACAAAGAGCTACTCCACTGTCATAAAGTTCATGGGTCACCAAAGGAAATAGAGATATAAGCAAGAAGATACACACCTCACAAGGTCAGAGCTATGATGCACATTGGGTGAATGTGTGTGTGTGTGTGTGTGTGTGTGTGTGTGTGTGTGTCAGCATGTGTGCACATTAATCACTACATGCACACTTTGAGTGGACAGCAAAGATCCACTCTGGCAGGGGGTAAATGGCCGGCTGCAGGGAAGGAAATTAAGGAATGTTTGGTGCAGAAGGACTAAGTGGGTTTATGGGTTTAACTAATGAACATGGATTTAAATTTAGACACACTACCTAATTTTCCAACTTCTGCTGGCATATTTCAAAGGTGCTGCTCATTGGACAAAACAAGAAATGCTGGTGTCATACTGTACAAGGAAATGCAACTGTTGCTTAAGTAGATTCTGAGGTTTGTGAGTATGCAATATTTTAGGGCCAGCAGCTATCAAGTTAGCAAAAAGTTTATCCGGGTCATTGACCAATTCAGCTCTGTGGAGCAAAGACGGGATAACCCAAAAGTAAAATGCCGCATTTAAAACATATGGTTGCCTGCAAGCACTTATTTATATGAATCTGGATTTAGTGCTCCTGTTTGCATGAAATCAATGTACCAGTTGATGCTAGATGTTACAGATTAGATGCACCCTCAACAACACCCCTTTAGTCTAAAGCATGACATACAAGTACAGCCATCTGTTTAGACATGATGAGTTCAAATGATCTAGCTCACTGTATTTACTTTGCAGAAATAAACTGTATATATATTAAATAGGAGTGAAGGCATTACCTAATATTCTGAGCTCAGCAAAAAACATCAGAGCTATTCCCACTGGCAGACCGATGCAGTAGTAACCCACCAGGTTGGACAAAGCGGCAATTTTCTGCATCCCAGATCCTACAAGAATCCCTGAGCAGACACACTGACAACACACACACACAAATGGAAAAAAATACATTGATTAAATAGAAGAATCAAACAGTTCAACATAAGAAGACATCTGTTCTGTTCTCTAATAACATACCAGAAGTGCGTCAAAGAATTGTAGAAATATATAGACTTTGAAGTTCTCTGAGACAAGCGCCACAATTTTTCTGCAGACAGTTGAGGAATATCATCAAAAACAGAGTTACCTTTGCATGGTACAGGAATGAATGTGTGTTGGTGTGAAACTCACTCATCAGAGGTAAATATGTAGCCAATGACAGACTTAGAGCCAGTGATGACAATACCCTGTAACACAGCAAGCAATCCTGTAGGAAAAACATTACATAAGGGGCAATATAATAATAAAGTTGAGTGGTTCTCACAGGCATTTATCTACCTTTTTAATGCTGTCCGTACTCAGAGTTTAATACTTTGATTACACCTATATCAGAGGTGTCTGGTACAGTGTATCAGTAGAAATGAATACACTAGCCAATCAGTTTAGATTATATTAATGATATATATATATGTGTGTGTGTGTGTGTGTGTGTGTCTCTTCATACAGTACCTGCTAGAACCAGGGCCACTTTGCAAGTAACTAATGCCCTGGTAGTGTTCCCAGCTCCCAGAGCATTCCCAACACGCACACAGGCAGCTGCATGGACACCTAAAGGGAACTGCAAGGACCACATATTACTCTTTGGTGTGAGTTACAACAGCTGACTTAAAGGAATAGTTTGGGAAGTATGCTTATTCACTTTCTTTCTGAGAGATTGATAAAAAAGATCGATATCACTGTCATGTCTGTGTGTGAAATGCTCTCCAAAATTCTAAATGATCTTCTCATTTACAGTGAATAATCACATTTTCTAAAATGCTGAATCATTTTTAAATAATGTACAAAAATGTTCCAAGTGAACACCAAGGATGATCCATACCATGTATGTTATGGCTCCTATTTCCACCATCACGTGCTGGGCAGCAAGATCCACCTCGCCAAGTACACCTGATATGGTCATATGGTGATAAGGTCAGATTCAGACATATTAGTTAACTATCTTTCCCACCACGCCTAAAAGCTACATCAAGAAACTTAGCATAAATACAAATACAGTCAGACAACTGTGCGCAGTATGCTGCTTGTGTAATTATTTGGACAGGTCGAATGTCAGTTTTTACATGGCACACAAATGGTATATTTTAATCGCATACTGCAGCTGGAGATGAGTCTACATCCAATACCAGAATTATATTTGGCCAAATAAAGTGAATTTATGGTGTCTGTTGCAGCAATTTTCATTTTGGCTAAAAAGAAAACTATTGTTTGTCTCTTTACCTTGGTTTGAGTGGTTTGGTTTATTCAAAATTGGAGACTTTTATGTTAATCTCTTTAGCCTGTTTAAAACAACTCAATGCACTTTGTTGCAAGAATATGTGTGTGAGTGTGTGTGTGTGTGTGTGTGTGTGTGTGTGTGTGTGTGTGTGTGTGTGTGTGTGTGTGTGTGTGTGTGTGTGTGGTTTTCAACACTAACCTGCAAGAAAACCTCCAATCTCCCAGATCCACCACTCAAAGCAGACCATAAAAGCACTGGGAATAACCAGCTTCATATAGGTGCCCCACTCCTGCAGACAGTCAGTGGACCAACCTGCAGAAAGATTCAAATAGAAGGGTTACGTGAGGACTATACTCAGTATGGCCTGTAGAGGACGACAGTTTTTCAGAAATGCCGATTTGGTCATTTAGTGTTTGATATTCACATTTTGTCTGTAGAACTCACCTCCCCATGTCTGCTGGTGAAGCTTCTTCCATCTGATGTAGCCAAACAACAGCAGACAGATGGTGATCTGAGACAGGCTGTTAGCGATTGCTGATCCACTGCAGACACACATGACAGAAGAGCTTTTTATATTGGAGGATGTGCAGTGACGGTCTATTAACTGTGACTGCATCTCTCTCTCTAGCCAAAGATGGGGAACAACTACACGTTAAAGGGTCAAACGTGGTCAGGTTTAAGTTATATTTTGGTTTGAGTACAATGGATGTCTAAGGGTCTAAGAATAAGGAGCAAGCAGGAGTCCATGCTTGATATGGGAGGGGAGGGACAGACCTGGCCCGACCACAGAGACCCTTTGGGTAAAGTCGACTGCCTGTTGAATCAAATGTTTGTCCAGCTGGACCAGGATCAACTGTTCTTCTTTCTCTGCCCTACACTGCCTCCCTCTCTAAATAAAGTACAAACATAATAAACATCAGTGTACTGCTGACTCAACAAAAAACAAAATGTATAAGGAGTTTTCTGATTTTTATTTTTTTTTCTCTTCTTTCCAAACTCATATCTATACATCAGCACCCAGCCCTATCCTATTTGGACAATGCATTTTATTGGTCATGGAACTTGAAGCTTGATGCCATATCAAGCAAAGCAAAGTGCATCAAAAATTGAAAGGGAAAGAGAAGGAGCGTGACACTTACACAACACCCAACTCGAGGCTGAAGATTAAGACATAGTTCGCCGCCAAGTTAATGACGTTTGCTGCTGCTGCTGTGTACATCTGAGGCAGAATGATCCCCTGACAGACAAGAAACACATGGAATCCATAATCAGCTATCAAGTCTGTAGAGCTAATATTCAAACTGCACCAATATTATTTGGAAATGGTCTAGACAAAAAAAAGGAAAAAGACAACAGGAGGAGAGTTGTGTAACTGTAACTCAATCCGTGTGTGCGTAATCAGATTTGTGAATGTGTACAGGAATCTGCAAATGTGTGGTCAAAATCTGTGTGCGCGTAATTCAATTTCTCCACATATTTTTATATCTACAAATCTCAATACATTTGCTAATCTGAATACAGATTTGTAGATTATTTTGCACATTTACAAATCTGATTACACACACATGGATTGGGATACAGTTACACACAACTGTCCATGCACATTTGTAAATAGTTTTGCTACAATAATAGCCCCATACAGAGCCACTGAAATTCAGTGCTTACAAACTTACTTGGTTTTGTAGGTAGGCAACTTGCAGCTGGTGCAGGAACATAGCCTGTAGTAGAAAGAGGCAAAGTGGATTTTCTAACTCTAAAAACTCAACTTGATTATCTCAAATTGACATGGTAGGCCTAATTTAAGTAAATAAGTGTCATTTATACACTTTAGTGGCACCATTTGTCTGCTATTATTTTGCATTTCTGTATTGTTGCATGTTTGTAGTTCTAAATATAATAATAATAAATATATAATTTTCTGTTGGCTACGTCACACTCTTCAAGCTTCACTGTAAACACTTAGGCAGAAATTAATCAGTTTATTCATAGTGATCAGGTTATTGTATAAATAAACATGCTGCATGCCTTGAAGAAAAGGCCAGAGAGTACTATATTTTGATATTTAACTGACCAATACTGGAGCACACATCCAGTCTTTTGATTAGCTAAAAGACTCATTTGGTCATCAGAGTTGCCCAGTCATTGCTTTCAGACAAAGACACAAACTTGTTTTCTTGCCTCATTGCTTCCTATTCTGGGACACAAAAGCTTGATTTGCATTTGGCACTTAGTTTTATACACAGCCCATGTTCTAGTGTGCTTACTCTGTAGCTCAAGTAACCGCAGAGTATTGCATGATACAGCATTAATTAGGCAGTGAACATTTTAGTCCCCTGGGACACCACACTATATTTTTTCTGTCTCTGGGTGTTTCAGCTCAGTGCACTCACTGGAACAGCTGGAAGAAACGCCATCACGTAGAGGTGGGCAATTCTGAAGGGGAGGTAAACAAAGTAATATTAATTTAGTAGAGCAAACACAAACAATAATTCCTTTTCTGCTCAGATATGCACCTATTTTTGCAAGTCTATATGTGCTGTATTAAAACTGTGTGTTTACTCACATTACATTTCTGCTTTGTCTCTTCAGTTCCTCAAAATAAATAAATAAAATGAGGAATCTAAGTATAATATGCTTCATATAGATGCTATCATGTTTCTAAAATATATAAGATAAATTTAAGGATAGCCAGACTTAAATGCATTTTGTAGGTTTACACAAATACCTACGTAATTGTACATACAAAGCTGAACTCAAGCACACCCTCATAAAATGCCTCCATACACACTAACCTGGAGTATGATGATACAAAGATAATATACATCGATCAGCCATAACATTATGACAGGAGAAGTGAATAACACTGATTATCTGGTTATCATGGCACCTGTCAGTGGCCGGGATATATTAGGCAGCAAGTGAACATTTTGCTCTCAAAATTGATGTGTTAGAAGCAGGAGACATGGGCAGAGTAAGGATTTGAGCGACTTTGACAAGGGCCAAATTGTGATGGCTAGACGACTGGGTGAAAGCATCTCCAGAACTGCAGCTCTTGTGGGGTGCAGTGGTCAGTACCTATCAAAACTGGTAAACCGGCGACAGGGTCAAGGCTCAAAGGCTCATTGATGCACATGGGGAGCAAAGGCTGGCCTGTGTGGTCCGATCCAACAGACAAGCTACTGTAGCTCTAACTGATGAAAAAGTTCATGCTGATGTTCTGATAGAAAGGTGTCAGAACACACAGTGCATAGCAGTTTGTTGCGTATGGGGCTGCATAACAATATGACAACCAGGGACCCCAGATGGTCATATTGTTATGGCTGATCGGTGTAGATGTTTTTTTCCCTTAAACAACCAATGAACAGTTTGTTTTAAATGGAGCATCAACTTGGTGTACACACTGACACATATATGCAGAACACAGACATATATATCCATTTGATTCACCAGAATTTACCTCGCCACCTCATCCTCTTGGTGCAAGATGAGCAGTAAGTTGTAAGAGTTGATGAGAAGACCCCAACAGGGCAGACAAAACAGCAGCATGATCAATGAACCCCTTTGGAGAATTACTCCCACACGTTTCAAGTTCTTACTGCCGAATGTCTGGAAAACACAATTGAGACAAATGAGAATTGAATCTGGTTACATTGGTTCAAAATAAACACATCTGTAGATAACACACAATAACAATAAGGCACAGGTAATGTGGTTTGCTCACCTGAGAAATGAGTGTGTCACAAGCCACAGCAAGGCCATAGCCTGTTGCAGTTGTGGTCACATTAATGGTCTGAGAAGTAGAGAATCAAATACAAGAAAATCAGAAAACAAAAAGTTGCTTAAGTTACTGTTTAAATTTCATTCATTATTGTCTTTTTTTTGTAACTCTGAGTAATATGTACATTAATGTGATCTATGGACAACCAGCTCTCCTAAACAACCACCTGCTCCAGCAACAAATGTGCTTCCATAGTTCCTGGAAACTATTTGGTATAAAAAGGACCAAACACAATTGATTCCAAGAAAAGCAGAGCAGCAGGCACATATCAACACTATAGACCAGGTGCAGCACGATTGAGCAATAAGTAGTCTGTATGGAGCAGAGCGACTCCATTGAAAGATAAAGCCTGTTGTGTCTCAATCAAAGTCTAGTATCTTTGCAGGAGTAAGCTGTAGGATAGGAAAACCTATTTAGATTAAAAAGTAGTAAAGGAGTAAAAAGTGCGATATATCCCTATGAATGTTGTGGAGAAGAGGTAGAGAGTGCAGTGAAAAGAAATAAGGCTGAAGCTGAAAGCAGGTACAGCAGGTACAGCTAGGCAACTGGTTTACCATGAGAGATTTTTAAAGATTGAACAAAGAAGACAGTATTTGTTTGTTCTACGGTAATGGGATGGTGGGCTCTGGTCTAACCTATATGCTTTGCAAGTTTCATCAACAACTCCTTGTTCAGCAAGGAGTGTACAATACATACACAACCTAACCTAGCACTTCGCTTGCTGCTTTGTTTGCATTTCAGGTTTAATTTTCTGGTGTGTGTCCACATCTTTTTCTATTTAGTCTCACAGTACCAGACAATTGGAAATCTCAGCACCGACCAATGGTCTGGAGATTTCTAAATGCAAGTAGTTGCTTGAACATACGCCCCTTCATTCAAGGACCTGAAACGATGCCCTCCTCCCATTGTCCTCCCTTGTGAATCAAACTGGAGATATAGCAAATCCCTTTGAGCTTTTTAAAATATGACATTTGCATGACCACCCTAAAGACTTTGGATTGGTTTTGCAATGCAGGTTTTAAAAACTCCTAATTGTTTCCAATTTTAGTAACAAAAGCTGTAGGAGAAAGTCCTCAGTTTCTATTGAGCGAAACATTTAGAGTAGGGCAGAAACAATCACTTGATTAACTTGATAATTGAAAATCGTTGTTTTTATTTCTTTTCTGTGACAGCAAACACAACACAGCCTTTCAGTAACTGCAGCCGGAACTTAACACACTTTATGTGTAACGTATGAAAAAACAGGCCTTTTTTCCCGTTTCTGTTTTCTAGTGATTTTATTTTTTGTTATATGAAATAGAAAATGAAAATCGAATAATTTTTTTAATTTCGCTCATCCCTTTTTGACCATGAAAAAGAAAAACGCCTTGTATTTCAATTTTAATTTTTGTATTTTAAAACGAAAATCAAATAACCACTCGTTTTCTGTTTTTTAATACCCGTTTCTGAAAGGAAAATCCAATGACCAAAAGATACACGGACCCAGAAGCCCACCTTTCTTAAAGGGGAAGGCTTGGCTGGTAACACACAGGTGCAGTTAGGCTCTGGGTGTGCTAACCAGAGGTGGACAAATTTGCATCAGATCCTTTATTCAGCAAAAGTATTAATATCCTACTTTGAAAATACCCCACCTTTCTTAAAACAATCCCAGAGGAAAAACTTAATGTAATGAGAAAGAGTTAATACACCCAGTCCCACTGAGAATCAACACTCAAATCTGCAGCTTGTTGCAAATTTCAGCCGATTTATCTTATCTCAATTCCACTTTCATATGTGGTCCAAATCAGATTCAGGTCAGATTTTTTGCAACGTGACCTCTGGGGACGCTAAATTTTTCAAAATAAATAATATTTCAAAAAATAAAACAAAAAAAGATCTGATGTATGGATCAGAATTGAGCGCTAAGGCTTGCAGCGTGAACGTAGCGTAAATTAAGTTCTTGTTGCGTCTTTTTGCCCTACATGTTTCTCAAGTCTTGCAAAAGAAAATTAAATCTCAATGAAATTACTTGCCTAAATAAAAACTTAAATTCAAATGTGTGAATATTGGAGGAGAAAAAGAAGAATAAGTCCATGTTGTTTTCTTTGCAGGATGTTTAAGTTAGTTACTGATTGCTAACCTAAACCTATGGTATGGGGCATGCATTGATAATAACTCACTCACTACTGTGTGGCCATCAGGTGTGCTTTTTGTGGAGGTCTGATATTGCGAGGAATACAAACAATAATATTTTGAAAAAGCAATGTCAGTGGAGTCAACATGTATCAATATGCTGCCACTTGGTGACATCAATAGAGCTCACAATAAATATTACCAGAGTTGCGCAGATAACACCAAACTGTACATCTCCGCTGAACCAAATGATGTGCAAATAAAAAGATAACTGGTAATTTCACATTTTTATATTGTCGAGAGTTTTTGCCAGTTGGAGAAACAGTTGATCGATCAGATCTTATTGTTCAGGATAATGGCGGCGTCATCTGTTGAAGCGTGGATGAAAGCGACAAAGACACAGCTTACCTTCTTGTAAGTTGACTTACAGTGATAACAACTCTTAACCTGACATAATTCTTTGGTTGTGGACAGGTTTGTAAAAATATTTTAATTCCATTGCATATTTCGTTCAGTAAATCATGTGTGTTCATTTAAGACATTGCGTCACATCTCTTGTGTCTAACAATCTGTACAAACTTATGTCTAAATTCTGTCTGCTTGTACAGTTACACAACTCATTTTAGCAGTGATTTCCATGTTTGTACTGTGCTGATGTGAATTTAGTCTGTCTTCGCCCTTTTGGAATATAATATTAGAGTATTACTCTTTGTGCACAAAATGAGCATCGGGGACCACATCACTTACCACACCAGTCACCAAAAAGTGTGTGTGTAATACAGATATTAATACATTAAGGCAAACCACCATCATTACATATTATAGTGAATGTTCACACATATACACGCAACAAAAGATAATTATAGAGAAAACTACAGCCAAAGTAATAGAAGTAGGAGCAACAGCAGTAAGAGTAGTACAGCAAGGAGAAAAGAAGGCGTGGTGGTAGTAGTTTTACTACTTTAGTTGCAGCAGGTAAAATCAATTAGTCTACAAAGAAGTAAAGATAGTACCGCTGAGGCCAGAGCATATCCAGCCAGTTCTGCATTTCCAATGTGACCACAGAATATGGTGATGACAAACGGTAGGAGGAAGTTCAGAATCCGGGACAGCAGCTATAAAAGCAAACAGAAAGAGTGGGCTAATTTCAGAACAAATCATTGATCAGGTAAAATTGATGCAGCTATGAACTGGGTTCAGACAGCTTATCTGTACTCAGCAAAGTAGTTTCAAGTTAGAGAGCAGTGTTGTGAAATCTCCAAGCACAGGCAGGTTTGCACTAACATTCAGCACCACCCTATTTCCCCTTTTAGAAACTGCGTATTTCACTGAATACAGTGTTAGATTGCACAGTGCACACAACAGTAACCCTGCAACAAAGGAGTACTGTAACTGAATGTATTACTAATGTGGCACCTTATGAATAACATACCAATCACCCCACCCACCACCACCACACACACACACACACACACACACACACACACACACACACACACCAACACTTCAACTTTCCCCTACTCACCAATGGGCCTGTGAGCTGTAAGACTTGGTAAAGTTCTTCTCTGTAGACCAATGGTAGCCAACGTCTAATGCATGCACACCGAAACAGTTTGGAGCTGACCGCTACCACCGCCTCGTCTCCCTCAACCCCTGCCGTCTTGGTAACAGAAACCCCAGCAACGGGCCCTGCACCCGGCGACGGGTGTTCAGGTTCCGGGGAACCCATCTTCTCCATTCAAACACAGAAAAAGAAGAGAGAAGGGAAAGAAGGGAGAAAAGCTAAGGGGCAAGGGAGGGAGGGAGGGAGTGGGGAAAAAGAGAGCAAGGGTAAGAGGGGCAGTCGGTCTATCTGGGTTTAGAAATACAACACATGCACTTCTTCAAAGTTATTGATTAAATAATATGGTTCAGAGGAGGGAGGAGATGAGAGAATGAATAAATGAGAGAGGAAGGGAAAACAGAGGGAGTGACGGAGTGGAAAAGAACAAAAGGGTCAAATCAGAGCTTATGCATGTGTCTTGTTAGGGAAGGAGGGAATACACTGTGTCTAAGTGTATAGAGTGAGTGAGTACTTTGTGAATATGTTTCATTAACATATTTTGGTGTGTGAGTGTTAGTGGTCTTAAAGGGCTCAGTAGTAATCTGGTGAAGAATGCCTGTTTACACAGTGTACACAAAGAGCTTGTGTGTGTGCACATGCATTTGCCACTGATCTTATCTGCCCCTGAGTGTACTTCGAACCACTGACTTTATCCCCACCTCCTCATGTACATAAACATAGTCAAACATGCGCACAAACCTGCACTCATCAATTTTTTTCCTGATAGATCTCTGTAAATTAAACATTTATTCAACAGCATCTTCAGGTATCCTCAACTTAATATGTTAATAAATCACTGTGATTGAGCAACAGTGTTGCTTTATCACTGATATTTGTCTTTAGCTTCTCAGAAAAGACACAGTTTCAGGAGGTGCACAGTTGCAGCATGGCCAAATTAACCTTCAGACAATTTCAGTGGCGAGTCCATAAACAGATCCTACGCTTTACTATGACAGAGGTCACAAGGACAGCTAGCAGCTTACACATTACAGCTGAAGAGGCTAAAGTTATGTGTGTGTAGGGTGAGAAAGAAGAGATCCCTCTATGTGCCTATCTAGTATATAGGTTAACTCGTCAATTGTGCAACATCGCATTAGGAGCACATTCCTCTACCACAGATTACATTTGTTGCAGGTGCTGCGTGTCTTTGATCTTTGATCTGACCATTCTGATAGTGATTTTTTTTAAGGAGCACGTAGAAGATTCTGTCGTAGACTGAATATTATGTAATGATTGTAAAAAGTCCAAAGCTTATAATGCATTCAAATTCACTTTATTGAATGCAAATACGTCAGCGAAGAAGTTTGAAATTTGAGGGAGGTGTAATTAATACAAGTGGCAACTGGTGTTTGTTCTGGTCTGATATTAAAGTAGTAATAATGATTAGTGTGATATAGCTACTGCCCTATTTTCAATCTCACCTTCATTGTATTGTAGAGTTACAAAGTGGTTGACAACCAATGTTCATAGTGTGGGTCTTTTTTCTTCAATCTGAAATCACATATGAGGAGAAAACCACCAAATGTTCATATGTTTTGAATATAGCTAAATAAATTTCCGCAAGCCCCTTTTTTTGTCATACAATCAGATAAAACTACAAACTGCAGTTGCGACTGAGTAATTGTACACAAACAACTCAAATCTAGCATCAAACATGAAACTTACTTCATGTTTGAAATCATAATTTGTTGGTCTAAATGTAAGTCAATACCTCTCTCTAGTGGGTAGGAGAGGGAGGGCTGTTGGAAACATGCACACACACACACACACACACACACACACACACACACAGACCATCAATACAACAACTTTTCCACCTCAGCCAAGAATAAAAAATGTTTTGCGACATTTTGAGATTTTTTAGGATTTTCAGCTTTTCCACTCTTTCCACTTTAAACTCAAATTGAAACCACCAAACCAAAAACCCAAGTAGTATGAAAGGGGTTGTTCATAGTGATGAACAGTTATTCCTTTACTGGTGTTATCTCCTATTTTCCAGTAGATATTGCTGCCTATAGGAAATACAGCCCTGGTCCTGGTTATATGGCCAGAAATAATAATAATAATAATAATAATAATAATAATAATAAATTAATTAATTATTTCTATTTCAATTCCGTTCAACTGCATATTTAAAGGTACCTAAAAAATAGAGTTCAGACTACAGACTATAGTAATATATTTTGGCGTTCACCATGCATGAGCTTCCCTGTGGTTAGTTGTATTGTTATACACTTTTAAAGTCTTTATTATTGATTATGTTGCTAACATATGGAAGTACATTATAATATTTGTCATAGATATACAGTAAAAAATAATAGGGGCTTCTTCGCCATCCAGCTGGGCCTTTAAGGTGCAAAGATGTAGTAAGTATTTTTAAAATGTAGTAAAAATAATGATAAAACTAACACACACAAAGAAGTGAGAACATCTTGTTTAAATGTACAGTGCCTATTGTACATACAGTGTGTGTATTAGGACAGTCAGAGATATCAGGAACCATCACTTCAGTACTAATAGGACGCTTTGGTATCACCAGGCTCGCAGTTGAGCCTGAAAATGTATTCATAAAAATAAACATTAGACACATAAAAATGACAAAATAATACACAATAATTTGGGTATATTTTTTTAAACCTGGATGAGATTTCTGTCACAAACAAATTTACCCCCAATCCAAAAGCAAATATATTTCACCTAACCTCCATTTGTATATGAAAAATAATTCTATTAACATTTATGTTTGACTGTTTTTGTGTGACTTTGTGATTCATATGAATGTTGTCGAAAAACAGATTTTTAAAATGCTGCCAATTAATTTGGAATGGGGAAAATGCTGCAGGGATGCCAGAATTTACTGGTGAGAAAGCCTCCTGATGGAGCTTAAAACGAAAAATCCCCCAATAGGAGGTTTCATTTAATTATCTCAATTACATTCCTGCCCTCAGTACTTTTGGGAAACGTCTAAATACTGTGTATGGTTTGAAGAATGATAAGAGCATCCTACCTTGTGTGCGACTTTCTTCCAGAAGATGAAGATATACTTTCTTAAAAATAAAAAATTTAATTATTTTTTCACTCTTTTTTTTTACACACACACACACACACACACACACACACACAGGCCAAAAATACAATCATGCACATGCAGGGCTGTGTTTAGGTACACTGAACTGCAAACATATTGAGTAGTATCTGCATGTTAAATTGGAGCCACCTTTATATTATTATTACACTTGGAGCTACTTCAGGTCAAACCTATTAACAAAGTCTACACATTTAGTTTGCTTGTAACAGTTCTTCATGGGTCACCATAGGGAGTGTGTGTGTGTGTGTGTGTGTGTGTGTGTGTGTGTGTGTGTGTGTGTGTGTGTGTGTGTGTGTGTGTGTGTGTGTAAGCATGCACATCTATCACTACATGCACACTTTGAGTCGACATCATAGATCCACTCTGGCAGGGGGAGGGGTAAATGGCAGGCTGCAGGAAAGGAAATTAAGGAATGTTTGGTGCAGTAGGAAACATTAAATACAGACACACTACCTCTAACTTCTATTAAAGGAGAACTCCACCAATTTTTCAGATCAAAGTCCGTTTACAGGTCTTAGGGAGTACAACTACCCTAGATGGTTTGTTACACCGAACCACCTGGGAAGTTGTTTCTGAATACTGTTTGGAAAAGGTCAGGCCAGGCTATTAACAGTGTCGTGTGTCTGTGTTTAGTTTGGCGCATATCTGATTCACCAGGTCAGATCAGCACTTATTTTAATGATCTTAATTACCGAAATGATTAGCCTTCCATTCCCATGATCTTCTCCCACTAAGCGTAGCTAACCAATGTAGGTTTGCAGAGTTGAGGCGACAAAATGTAAAGTTTGTACATAAATACAGTTAAGCTTTATGGATTATTTGATGCCGAATTGACAAGAAGACTGCTGACATATGACCCCCTTTATCTTGTGTTTATAGAAGTATGTGTTGTTACGGATACAGAAATTGTTAATATGTTGTATTTGTTAAAGGGCTTCAACTTAAACCTTAATTTCTTAAATTTCTTAACCTGCTGTGTATATTTTTTAACATTCTGTCACAGAAACATTAAAGTATAATCAGATTAACTGACATTGACTGCTGTTAGTTATTGGTTTAATTAATTGTTTATTAATGTGTGTATATTTTTGACTGATGGTGGCTAATCAAGCAAATTTTAATCTAATTGTACTCGGTTTCTAATGCATACTGCAGGAAATGGCTGACCTTTGTGTTTATTTAATTCACTGCTGTACAGAAAGCAATGAAAAACTGATATTATTTTATATAATAGTGCAATAAACTCAGCTATGTCGTAAAAAGCTTACATAATCTTTCACCCCCACTTTTAACTACAACTAAGCGTCCATGATTCCTATCACATTGTTCATATAGAGCTAATGCAAAGTTCACCACAGGCTTGAGCAGATATGTGTCCCAAACTACATCACCCCTACAGAACCAGCAGAAAAATAATTTAGTCATGTCTGGACTTTGAGATGAGATCATTTCCATGATTTAAGTCATACTTAAGTCGATTTTATAAATGAAGCCCCTGGCCCGACCACAGAGACCCTTTGGGTAAAGTCGACTGCCTGTTGAATCAAATGTTTGTCCAGCTGGACCAGGATCAACTGTTCTTCTTTCTCTGCCCTACACTGCCTCCCTCTCTAAATAAAGTACAATAATAATAAACATCAGTGTACTGCTGACTCAACAAAAAACATGTCATTCTTTTTAGATAGATCAAATGTATAATAAGTTTTCTGATGTCCTGTCCTCTTCTTTCCAAACTCATATCTATACATCAGCACCCAGCCCTATCCTATTTGGACAATGCATCTTATTGGTCATGGAACTTGAAGTTTGATGCCATATCAAGCAAAGCAAAGTGCATAAAAAGGCTGAAGATTAAGACATAGTTCGCCGCCATGTGAAAAAGATTTGCTGCTGCTGCTGTGTACATCTGAGGAAGAATGATCCCCTGACAGACAAAAAACACATGGAATCCATGATCAGCTATCCAGTCTGTAGAGCTAATATTCAAACTGCACCAATATTATTTGGACATGTTCTAGACAAACAAAACAAATTCAAGACAAATTTATAGAGACATTTCACTCAATATAACAAATGTGAACCTCATGGTGGCGCTAGAGGTAGAGCTAGAACTAGAAGTCAGATGCGAACCA